TAAGGTATCTCCACAAATTTGCTGATGAAAAAAGTCTCCAAACTTAATAAAAAAAAGTTTCATTTTTAAAATGTTTATGCGATTAAGAAGAAAGACCAAAGTATTTTTTAATTATTTTATGAAATTTTTTTAATCCTTTCTAGCACATACTAAATTTATCTTGTTTTTCTTGCATCAACGGGGGGGGGGGGTGAGTTTAAGAAATTTTAGTGTCCTTTTTGCAGTAATAACACATTGATTTGGAAATTCTTGCAAAAATTCAATAATTGTCAGATTTTAATGAAATTGTCAGGGCTTATTCATAAACGAATGAAATTATTTTTTTAAATATTTGTTTTTTTAGGAAATCTTGATAAAGATATATTTTTTTACATCTGTTACCCTCACTTAATTTTATGAAATTTCAAGAAATTAAACTTCCACCCTCTTTATATTTATATTAGTTAAAAGCAGGACTCCTTTCAGAATTTAAATCAGCAATTTTTTTTTGTAAAACAGACACCATTTACTGAAAATCTGCTCTGAATCATAAAATAAAAAACGCAATAAAACTAAGATATTATTTTATTAGAAAAGCTTTTAATTGGTTTTATAAATAAGATATATTAAGGACTCTATAGCCTTAAGAATAATTTTTTGATGAATAATGAACTTTTACAAGAATTGTTTTCATTTTTTTTAAATTTTAATTAGAATAATTTATAAAGTTTAAAAATCTTTTAAAATTCTCTGTTAATTTCACCCTTTTAGATGATATATATATTAAGTAAAACTATATTTACTAATCATAAATTGAAAAGCTTAGTACAAATCAAACACCAATATTTTTAAAAGAATTTTGAATATCTTTTTTTCATGTGTATAAATGTGCAAATTTTTGTAGATACAACTGTTTATACATAACATTATCAAAAAATAAGAGCAATAGTAAATTTAAAACCAATATTTCTAAAATTCAATAAAACATTAGATTACAGAGAATATTTTCCTAAATTTTTAAGATTACTGAACACTTAAAAATTATATAAAAATGCACTTACACCATTTTCTTTAATTATGTTTTACAGATCATTTCACTGTAGGACAAAATTACATGAGTCATCATACTGTCAGCATGTCAATACAATACCTTAAATAAACAGCTACTGTCAAGTTAAAAAAATGCTTTTTTGTAATATTTTAAACTTAAATTAAATAACATTTTTTTCTAATCAGATAAATTATACTTTAAAATAGTTAATATTCCTCAAAGTTTCAAAAAAGTATATTTTATTTTTGGAAGATTTTTAATAAAGAGAATTATAGTGCTAAAAAAATGGCACTAAAATAAAATTTTTTTACAAAAAAAATAAAAAATAAAAAACTCCTTCCAGACAATTTAAATTAGTTTTGAAATAGTGCAAAGTATTTTGCTTATTAGAAATATTAAATGTAATTTAATTTGAAAGGTTATAGTATTTCTGGATAAATTTTTTAATTGATTCAGTCTTTCGTATCAAATTGGGAAATGAAAGTTATTTTGAATGGTCACACTTGTAGATCTTTTTGCATAAATACAGGTGTTCCACTGCACTCTATCTTTAGACCTAAGTTGTTCCTAATTTTCATGCAAGACCACCCTGATGTCATCAGTTCTCAACTCGGTATCTACGCTAATGACCAAATTTTTGCTCCTGTCTTAATAGTAAGTCTGATTGATTCGATAAGGTCAAACTGGCAGCTGATCTCAAAAATGACCTATCTGTTGTTAACTGGGGCAAGGAATAGCTTGTTAATTTTAATGTATCCAAAATGAAACAGCTTTTAATCATCTGAATATCCTTTCTGCTTTCCATCAGTGTAGATGATGCTAACTTTCAGAAGAGGAACTCATTGCACCTCCTCAAGCTAAGTATGTCCTGTCAAGTAATGGTGTTGCAAGTAAAATAAACTTTAAAGCATTAATAAATTATATCTAAGGTTCGTTGTCGAGTTATTTGAATTATCATATGCTTGTAATTTGATTGGCCATGACATCTTATGTAAAAAAATTTTTCCCGAGTGGGGGTAATGGTTAGTTTTTAAACTCTTTATTTTACTTGCAATACAATCACTTGACAAGATACCCGAAGTGTTAAAACAAAATGGCTGTTTTTGTAGTGATGTTATAACATACATATGTTATAATTTTTAAATAAATATAATTATTTAATTAGATAAGCTTTGATTTGCTTTTATAATATATATTAAGGGCATAATAATTTATAAATTTTCAAAAGTGTTTTAAAATTTTTTCCAAATGTTGACAAAGTTAGCTTATTACGTTAAGACTATATTTACAAAGTGAAAATAGAAAAGCTTAATAGAGATCATCACACCAAAAATTTTAGAAACAATTAAAAAAATGTGTCTAAATGTTCTTTTTTTTTTTCATACATGACATTATTGTTAAAAGGTCATGTCCTTCAAGGATTGTCCTCCTTATGAAAAATTTCACTCACATAAACTATTTTTGGCAGTGGACAATTATTTCATTTCACTTCCAAGAAAAGTTGAAGAGACAACTGAAGAGAAAAACAGCACTTTTCAGGGCCACAAAATATTCTAAAAAGTCTTATAATTCTTATACATGGTAGCCATTTTTTTCATTTAATATTCTCTGAAGTATTAGATTATGTTTAAATAAAATAAGTGTACAATGAACCAAGTAATAATAAAATTTAAGTACTTTAAAAATTTAATAGATAAAATAACTTTAGCATTTCATAACCATCAGGACATAACAATTAATAATAAAGAAAATGTAAGATCTTAAAAAGTATAAATTAATAATAATTTCCATAAAATTTCAAATTATTGAGTTACCTCTAGATAACTGAGATAATAAAATATCATTATAGTGGTAACTCAATAATTTATGAAATGTTATTAATTTAAGAAATTTTTATAGTATTTTAAATTTTATTATATTTTCAGAAAGCATCTTCAAAAGTAAGGTTAAGTACCTCAAAAAATTCAATAAAATATTAGATAATTGCTTAAACTATTTTGTTAATATTTAAATATTACCTGGTAGTTATAAAAAGAAAATACACTGTTTTTACTTAGAATTCATAAGTTTATATCAATTCTGGTCCACCATATTTAACCTGTCAACACCTTCGGCTGTCAATATATCAATGGAGACATGAGAATAATAAGAATCTATGCTTAAAAAATGCTTGTATCCAACATTTTATTCTATAAGTAATATTTGTTTCAGAACAGATTAATTTAACTTTAAATCTGCTAATCTACAAATAACATTCCAGAAATATATATTTTATTTTTGCAAGATTTTTAAAACTAAGAATTAACTTTTGTCTACAAATATGTCAAAACGGCCATTTCCATTTGTTTTTCTGAAAAAATGAATCGAATAAAAATTATTATAATTTCTATTTGAAATACATCACAGTATTTTGCTTTCTGGAATTAGAAAATTTAATCCTTTAGCTTTCAATTAAAGATAGAATGAAAGCTTCAAGAAAGATTTTTCATTAATGAAAATTCATTGAAACCTTAGGTGTACCAACTTATTGGAGGTACCTATTTTAAAAAGTTCACAAAAAGAGATTTGAGAAATATTAACAGGGTAATAAGCATGAAAAGTGAATTAACAGAAAGAAAATATTTGAAGAAGCTGGTGTTGCAAATGTAAACAGAGAGATACTGAATATTAAGAAAATTAACTAAAGACATGAAAGCAAGCAAACTGACAGATTTAAGTAAACATTACAAAGAGAAATGTGGAAATTAGTTAAAAAAGTGCATGAAAACCAACTTCTTAATAGTAGTTTTTAGTGATAAATTTCAATGGATGAATCTGATGACTGGGCTAGATGTTGGGTCTTTCATGGAAATAGCCAATCAGCATAACATTACAGTGCAGAGGTGGAGTAATATTTTGGATTAGTATTGTAGACAGAAACATTATAGATCCTTTCCAAGTTGATGGAGTCAAGATAAATTATTCAAAGTTCTTGGATGTTTTTTTGAGTGGCAGAAGTGACAACCAAGATGTTTTAAGCTAAAGGAGTAATTTCATGCAAAAAAATTTGCTCCTTCACATTCTGCAAAGCTGATTGGTACCCAGATTGTTAAAAAAACGTTTCAGATTTAATAAAAACAAGACCTGTCAAAGGGTGTCTATAAACCAGCTCCTCCACTTGCTTTTCTGGTGGTGAAGCAGGTGGCGCATGTAACCCTACAGAACAAAAAACAAGATGTCAAAGGGTGGATCATCTGCTTATAGGAGCCAACAGCCTATATATATATATATATATATATATATATATATAGCATGGGTGGGAAGAAAGTTCCTATTGAAAATTTTGTTAATATCACCACATTTTCATTAAACAAAATATATTGTGATACTTAAATTGGTAGAATTTCATTGTTAATTTTTGTTTTTATTTCAGAGTAACAAGTGTGGCCTAGAATGGCTCAATGTCTGACATTTGCATGAGTGTGACCAGGTAGCATGCCGTTATGAAGTGTGGGAATACATGGTACAAGTTCAGAGTGGGTGGCGCAGTGTTCATGAACCTCATGCTTCAGAAATTGTCAGTCAACAGAAGCAGTTGTTCTTCAACATTAAGATTGAAAGAAAATGTGTAAAAGGTAGAATTTTAACACTGCATTGTAATTCTACCATTATACTGTTCAAGATAAAACAGGTTTTAGGAAAATCGACCAGTAATTAATAAAGTTATTAACAATTTTAAATAGGGAGTTTCTTTCCACCCAACCAGTATATATATATATATATATATATATATATATATATATATATATATATATATATATAAGGTAAGGATAGAGTTCCAAGCTTTGAATGGGAACCTTCCTAGAGATGGTGCCTCAATAAAAATACTCTGTGTATTTCGACTACATGAGTGTCTGGGGTGTCAGGAAGAGTATCTGGCCTTGTAAAACCTTATTTTAAATTATTATGATAGGTTTCAGTATGTTGAGATTATGGCCACACCATGTTGAAACACCAGTTCCGATACAATCACTGAAGTTAAGCAACATTGAGCCTCGTCTCTAACTAGATGGGTGACCACTTGGGATTACTAGGTGCTGTAAGCTTGAATGTGTGGGTGGTGTAATAAATAAAAGCTCAGAATTGGAAATCAGAAAGCCAAGTTCCAATTCTAGTTGTGTTCATTATATTCAATGACCTGCAAATACTCTGAGAAAAGGCATGAATCCATCTCATATCACCCCCAACTATGTGTTAATTAGTAGGATTTGTATCACTAAATCATTATTATCTCAAAAAAATAATTTCACAATCAAAAATATTTTCTGGTTTCAAATAACCTTCATGTGTTGATAAGCCATAGAAAATGAATCAACCAGCCAACAATCAGTATGTTGATATATGGAGGATCCACCTTGCTTTGTGCAAGACTAATCCTGGTCATGTCTCAATAAAAAAAAACATGATTACCATGATCTGGTGAGGGTCAAAAGCTAAAAATTACATATTGTTCATATAAATCTAAGTATAGCCTGAATGCATTGCCACTATCAGTAAAATACCAATTTTATTGTTAAAGAATCGACTTGTATAATAAAATTTTGTGTATCTTCAAATATAAACAAGAATTGTGATTGTAGACTATAATCTTCAGAAATTTAAATGCAATGTCAATCATTATCTACTGTCTTCTTGATTCCTTTTCTTTCATTATTCTCTTTCCTTAATAATGTTTCTCTTTTTTCTTATTCTTTCACACCCAATAATTCCTTGTGACTTTGTTGCCATAGTTGGGGAGAAATGATTAAAAAAGAAAAATTAGTCAATGTAATTACCAGCAAAATCTATTTTGCAAAAAGGAGATGACCTTCATAAAGTCAAATTCTATATGAGATAATGTAGGAGTCATAATTTCCAGTTATAATCATTTGCAGGACCAAGGCAGGAAATGGCAAAAATAGATGAGAAAAGACTTTATTACAGCTAATTCTTGTTTGTTTAACTAAAGAAAGTCATAACTAGTACGTTCAAAGACTATTCGGTGATATGACCTTACACTAGTAATCATTTGACTAAATTATGCTGATGAGACTGATCATGGAATACACTGAAAGAAATGTGTCAGCATTTGCTGCAGCATCCATAATCAACTTATTCTTGGCTTATTTCATGCAGTCATCGGGGTGGAGGTCAGGCAATTTAAAATAGAGGAAGCTTGTTCCTTCTTCAACCAAAATGGTGTTGAATAAGAAAACATTGTCCTTTGTCTGACCTTTCTCTCTCCAACCAAATTACCGAATAAAGAAAGAATTCTCAATTACAGGACAGTAAACTGTATTGTATTATTCTCATCTTAACCACTAGACAGAAGATAATTAGCAGTTTGCATCAAAATCTGCATGTTACATAGAATATCAAAAAATGTTTTATTACATAAAAAAAGTTCTGTTAAGAAGGCATGTGAAAGATATAAAGATTCAGTCATGAGCCTTTCATGACATAACAAATTGTAATTAATGGAGATAAATTTAGGCAGCCAAAGTTTCAATAAGGCCATATCAGAACTATGTTTGGTGTTTCTGTTCCAACAAATATATCATTGGTTATCTATACAACTTGTCAGAGGGAGCCAAGTTTTAACAGCTAAACACATGGAGATGTTAAGTCTGAAGTACATCTGAAGAAATCAGGATGTATTGTTTAAATAATGGCTCCTAGGAAATTAACTATTCTGTGGAAATTTCCTCAAGATTCGTCATTAGCACTGAGAATAGTCTTCAGTCAGTTAAGTGCCATACGTGATACACACTTGGGCGATCATGTCACTTTCAATTCATGACTGACTATGCAGAAAATTTTCTCGCAGTAGGTTGCTATTTCTTTTTGGGCTAGACTGGTTGCCAACCAAGACTATAGGACCCAGTCTGTCCTGCTATTTAGCCAATAGCTAGGGGGGGGAGATATATTCATACTTTTTCCAAGGGTATTTGCACATAAGTGAATATAACAAACTTGACTGGAATTTGAACTCTGCTCTCCGATTTCTCATTCCAAGCTGATATCCATTACACCACAATGCACATCAAGAAGAGACTTACTATTTCCATTTTCCTGGTCATAAAATGTTTTTTTCAACAGTTTCTCAGGTAACCCATTGTTATGCGTTACAGCTTTCATTTTTTTTTTTTACCTTAGGACCTGCTTACATAAGATAGTTACACATTTCTCACAGATAACAATGATCAGTCTACAAAGCAAGGGAGAAAAAAATTGAATGCTGATTTTCAAGGTATTGAAAAACTCTCAATTCATGGTATCTGCAAAATTCGATATACCTGAAATGAATTTGTCCTTGTGCCAAACTAAGCTTTACTTAGTGAATATCATTCAATTTGATCCCTTTAAACTTTCAATCTCTTTCTTCACCTATTTGGCAACAGTGCCAAACATCACGAAAATAAGTGGAATAAAAAGAATGAAGCATACAACAGAAGTTATCTGATCCTGACAGTGAGAAGCAGATCTATAACCATCAAAACTTTTTATGCGGTAAAAAAAAAAAATATGTTTGCAGGCATTTAAAAAAAAAAATGGAAAGACAAATACGAGTAATTATATTTGCCTATTTGTGTTAGAAGCATTTTGATCCGTAATGCATTTTACGTATTCACCTCCCACCTAACTTCCAGCTATACTCTCCCACACATACTCTCTCTCTCTCTCTCTCACACACACACACACACATTCTCTCTATTTTCCTAATTGCATAAACAAACATGTCTGACACTGAACAGTGAAGGTTATAATAAAATCTAAAAACCCCAACCCTCACGATTTGTTAGTTCCTCCATCTATTTATTCACTAAGGTTGGGCATGCTCAAAAGCTGCTTGATTGGAAAGAAGGAGAAGAGCAAGGACAACCCTTTCCAAAAATGTAAAAGAGAGAAGAAAAAAAATTCATAATTCTTCAAATGCAAGTGTTGCTAACACCTCTCCAAGAATGAACACAGTATAAGAAGACGGTTAAACAAGTGAACTTTGATCCTCAGGGTGTAAGCCAAGATGAGGGGAAGATGATTAGGATTTGATCTGTTGATGTTTTCTTGTGTAATACAGGTGGAGGTGCTAGAAAGTTAGAGAAATAAAGAAACGGAGAATGTACATGGTGAGAGCAAAAATAAATAGACAGGAGAGTGTTTTTGTCTAACAGGGGAAAGTCAAAAGAACTTGTAACACAGAAACAGTCTTTTAAATTAACATTAAAAATTTTTGTTTTTTTTAAATTAATTAAATCCCATATAAGACCTTTTCCTCATTTTTACTTAATATTACAGTATTCTGGATTTAGGTTACCTACAAATACAGACAGCCTACAATATTTGAGTAAGTATCTAAAACCCAGAAAATATTTTTCAACTTTTTTTTAAAGGTGAAGACTTAAAAGTCATTGAATTTGGTAGTTTTTGTAAAAATCAATGTGTTCATATTTGAACACTTCCCTCCAAGAAACAGATTAATTTCAAGAAAGGTATTCATAAAAGCAAAATACAACTAAAAGGTTTTCTGATATGAGAGCATTTCATAAATACCCTAATATATGCAAAAATGAAAAGTTCAAGCAATTTTTTAAAAATCCCAGAAGAGTACTTAATGTTTAGTTATTTATATAAGCCATGACATCATCGGTAGAATTTATTAAATCAATCTGAAGATTATTTTGCTAAAGAAATGCATTGAAAATTATTTTCTTCTTCTATGTGCCACGTCCCTTCAGGACATTGGTGATCATAGCTGACTACAATTTCCTGCCATTTGTAGCTCTTAATAAATGTTGTTATTTTGTTATTTCACCTAAACCTTGCTCCACCATCCATTTACTCAAGCCCGCTTGGTAGATTATGTGTTGTTTTCCTCTGTTTCTCCCTTGCCTTCCATCTGTCCTGTGAATATAAAATTTTCCAATCCCTCTTTCTTTATTATGTAGCTTAGAAATTTCAACTGTTTCTTCCTAATATTAAGTTTTCCATTTTTCATCATTGCTCACATGTTCAGTCTATGATTTTCCTGAAGGTGAATTTATTTACTCTAATGATTACAATTATAGTGGCATAGCAAATACTAAAAACTTATACATATGTCCACATTATTAGAGTACATTTAGAATATGAACAGTTCTGGTTACTAGGCAACCCTGTGATTTGTTGGGGAGTAGTTCAAAAGAAAAATTATGAGGAAAAAAAAATCATCATTGAAGTCACTCGCTCACAGATTACACTTCATTCTGTGCATTATATACAAAAAGGGAGATTTAAGGCCACCTAGACATTTTTTTTTTATTTACCTGATATTTAAGTAAGTAAATAAGGGATGGTACACTAAAATTAGCATTTAATAGTTATCTCTCTTGAAAAATAAGCACAGCTGCTCAAATGCTATTGGTTGATTACAATTCAACCAAATATTTTTTTCATTCTTTAAACTAATATATTTTAGATGTATTTTAATACTTAAGACTACAATGCACCATTTCAGCTAAAACATGTTGAGCAAATACACAAAAATATAAAGCAGATTGAAACAAGGATATGTTTTCACATTGCATTTATAAAATGAGAGAAATCTAAGAGGATTTATTATCAGCAGACATTATCTTAACAAACTAATATATACAGATGATACTGTATTGATAGCAGGCTCAGAAAGGGAAACTGCAAGAATTCCTTAACAAGGCAGCAAAGGAAAGTAAGAAGAAAGGCCTAACTATTAACTATAAGAACACAGAATGTTTAGTTATCAGCAAAAGAGACAGGGCAAAATGGGATTTATGAATATGAAATGTCAGAATCAAGTACATATACAAATTTGGTTATCTGGTCATGTCGTAACACATAACGGAATATATGACTCAGAAATCAAAAATCTCATTGAAATAACAGAAGACAACTTCCAAAAACCTAAAAGTATTACACGGGACAGGATATTGTGGAGAACCATGATTCCCAAAGTCCTGAAGAGCTATAGTACATAAAAGAGAAGGTTGCATACAGATATGATGCGATGAGTAACTTGTCGCCATTTTATAATTTTTAATTTCATGCATGTG